AGATTCCGGCTACTTGGAAGGCTGAGGTGGAAGAATCGCCGGAGCCCAGCAAGTCGAGGCTGCGGTGGCCGGGAGCGGCCACTGCACTCCAGTCTGGGTGACAGAGTGAGACTCCAACTCAAAAAAAAAAAAAAGAAATGTCTTCCAGCTCTGTGAGTCTGGAGGTTGGAGGGCTACCACGACCTATGGAGCTGGAGGTCTGGGAGGCATTACTGTCTATGTGGCCAGTGTGGACATAGGCCTCCCTCTCCCAGTCACCGTCTCTGTGGACATTCAGGAACTTGCCCCAGGTCAAGTGTCATGGGTGTGAATAGGTGGAATGGAAGGGAGAAAGAGCTTTTGAAGTGGAGGCTGCAGCCCCTGCCCTTCCCATAGGAATCCCAAAGCAAGGTGATATTCCAGTAAGCACCCTCTGGGAGCCTCTTTATCCCTTAAAAATCCTTCTGAGCAATAGGCCAGTCCTGTGAACAGCCGTGACTGGGTCTCTGTGGAAGCTGTTCTGGAGCTGAGGTGGAAGCTGGGTGAAGTGCCCTGCCCTCTCCATACCAGCGGGCACTGAGGATGCCATCCAGTATCTTCCTTAGGTTGTGGGAAAGTGGGTACCCTTGGAGCAGAGCGACTGAAAATGCTATTTATCATAGGTGTTTGCACTATCCAATTTCTTGAGGGGCACAGGCCTGTTCCGGTTCCCCTTTGCCAGCTACAGGCAAAGAAAGAAGATGACAACTGACGTTTTTGTTCAGGATCCCAGGGTGGAAACATGGTGAGCGCCCCTACAGAGCCCTGTTGCACGGGCTGGCCTCTTTGTTTTGTTTCAAGGCTGTCTTTTAGGCCCCAGGGTCTGGAGGCCCGCCTTTGAGAGAGGCTTCCCACTCTTGCCTCACAAGAAAACAGGTTGAAGGGCACTGAGAGAAGGAGTAAGCGCTCTCCTTTTGGCCAGATTCCTAGCTATTGTCTCCACCTGCCCCCCTACCTTAGTCTTGATAGTATCTCTATATACACATCCTGAAATTTCTCCCTCCCTTTCCCTAATGACCGAGGCCCACTGGGTCTGACATTCCAAGTAACCAGCGTATAACTGCTGATTCCAATAGCCATAGATACCCCAGGTGGGAGTGAGGGAGTTCAGCCCCCTGTCCTGGCCAGATATGGTAAAAGTGTAGCCACACTCCAGACCTTTGCTTCTCTCTCCAGTAAAGGGTGAGTTCCTAGGGTACTAAGTACTTATCAGGACAGTGTGGAGAGGGCCACTTCCCTCATGTAGGTAGCTGCTTAGCTAAGAACACCAAGGGTGACTGACCCAGGAATGTCCTCTCCTCCTCTGGTTTCAAAGATGTGTGAATGAGGTTTTAAAAACCATGTTGATTCCTAACCTTTTGCTACCTGAATAAAGCAGAGTCTATTTCGACACATGCATCTGTTCCATACATCCTGAAGCAAGAGCCAGGAGACTGGAGAAGCTGACTGAAGCTAACTAGGTCTTCCCTCTTTCAAGAGGGGAGAGAGCCAAGAACATAGGTGGGCAGCTGAAGTGTGTGTGTTCACTTTTGTTTCTTTCAGTTTCTTTCCTCCTCAGTCCTTAAGGGTGAGTTAAACTGTTTTCACCAGTGAGAGGAGAAGGTAAAGATGAGATATGAACTATTGGGCGAGAGTTGTAATTAAGTGATTGATTGCCTGACTTTTATTTTGCACTTCATACTTTATAAAGTACTTTTACATACATTAGTATCTCATTTGGTTTATTGGTATTTTTTTAAAACACCAGACTTTCAGGGAAAAAATCATCTGTTTCTACCATAGTAAAAAGCTGCTGCGTCAGACCCCTCACTTGACAGCACTCCTTAAGGCCCAGCTCTGAGGATCTCTTCTGGAGCCCAAACAGCTGCACATCCTCCCCATCCTCGGGGCAGCCTCACTCTAACAGAACTGTAGCAGAGATTTGCAGCGTCTCAGGTACAACCAGATCTCTTTGGTTGAGGAGACCCAGTCTTATTCGAGTGTGTATGGTTTTTTAAAAAGACATTCAAATGACCCACCGAAGCAAAGGCATAGGTAGCGATGCTTTTGGTTTGGGAAGTCAGTGCAGTCAGAACTGGCTTCCATGCAGCAAAGGCCTGACCCCCCCACCCACCCAAGGGGATGGAGGCAGTCTCCTTGGGCCCCTCGCCAGCAGCTGAATTTCACCGCAGAAACATCATGCTGGTGCCTCCCGTCCCAGGTTGGGCGTTCCTTTTTCTCAGCAGGGTGGGCTCCCGGGGTGACAGCTCCTATTGCAGGTGAAGGGAGAGAAGTGAGCTAAGGCCCCGGGAGGTGTTGTATCTCTGCCTTTATTCGTCCCAAGAGTGCTCATGACATGCACAGGGCAGTTAGCAGGCATTTCTGAGTGGGCTGGCTCCCTCCAGATGCCTCAGCCCCCATCGCTGTGGACACTGAGGCAGCGCCTCCTCCCTGTGGTTCTTCCCATGGATCACCATGATCCTCATGTTGCACCAATGACACTGGTGGGTTTCTCACATGGTAGGGCCTCTGCACCGATTGCTCTTTGCACACTGCCTGTGACGCAGCTTTTGCTGCGCTTGGCGCCTGCATGACCGCTGCTCACCTGTGCCCCTGAGAATGGATGCCCAGAGACTTCTGGTTTTTGCGCCTTTTATCACAGTCAGGAAAGCCACCATGGGCCCTGTGTGGATGTACTTATGGCTGAAGGCCCTGGCACTCACTACAACAGAAGGGTTCTGCAGTGTTGTGGCTCTGCAAGGGGCTTCCTGATCTGTGTGGGGTAGACGCTCTGGCCACACTCAGGGCCTCTGCAGGCCTCTGACAAAGAGCCTCTGGGCAATGTGAGTATGCAAGTGTTTCTTGTGGGCCTGGGCCATGGGTAGTCTTCTCAGCCCGGAGAGATGGTCTCTGCTTCTGGTGAGCACACCTCAGAATTGCCCCTCACCCGCTATGCAGCATCCTCCCACATCCCCCAGGGAGATGGAGAGGGGTCCCCCCATGCTGTCTCAGGTTCTGAGGGGAAAGCCTTTGCCATGCCAGGGACACTTACAGGACCACTCCCCCACGTGGCTGCACTCATGGGTCAGGGCTGTATGGCTCTTGAGATTCTCATCACACTAGCCACAAGCTGTCAGCTCTTCCAATGGAATCTGAAGGACTCAGGCATGCCCAGAGGCAACTCTGGTCTTGGGG